ACGAGATTTCAAGAGCTTTTGGTCACTCCTTGTTTCAAACAAGTATTTCAGAAAAAAATAACTTTGCCTTCCTTCTAATGACTTGCAAAACAACTGAATGGTCTTATTACCTAGTAAGATAAGTCTAGCAGCTAGTTTTTTGAGGAAACAAAATTTGAAGTTCCTCAACCCCATCAAATTGCATCACCTTTAATGAAGAATAGAACACAAATGGTGACATGCTAAAAAGATAAAACAGACTGTGCTTATCTTGCACAAGTTTAACCCAGACTGTCCCAGTATTATATCATCAGTTATTTAAGTCCAGTATGGCACCCTAAACCTATTCCCTTACTACCACCTTTATAAGATGCAGTAGAGAGTCAGAAAAAAAAATCTCTGACATTTATACTTACATGAACTTTTGTAGATTAGCTAATATAACCAGATCTTCTACTACTATTGCTTAGTAATGCCATCAGACATAGTGTTAATTTACTTCCGTGTGAACAATAAAATTTTGTAAGAATCACATTAGGCAGGCAGAAACCTTCAATCTCTGTACCAAAATACACCAAGGAGCATATAAAAAACTCCATGTTTTCATTCAGAACATTCAGTGCACAAAACTATTTCAAAAATTTCTGAAAGAAATACTGCTTTTGCACTCATTTTAAAAAATGATAGATATAATATCTCTGTTAGAATCTTACCTGTACTCGCTGAACATCATCTATGCATTGCTTCTCTGTTTCTAGAACTGTAGATTTCAACTCTGAATTTGAAAAGAAGATACAGATTTTAAACTTCTATATTTAAAAATTCATTGAAAGAATGAATTTTATAAATTAATTTTATAATGTCATTCTTTTGAAAGACATTATAAAATTAATGAAAGGAGAGTAGAGTTAGAAAGAAAACAGTGCAAACTGTCCCAATTTCCAAATTATCTCTAAAATCAATGGAACAGGTTATATGTATACATAAAGCCAGGTTAAATTCAATTTGCAACATATGTATTATGACACAATGTTAAATGTTACCATCTTAAACTTGAAAGAAGTCCATTTTGATTGATCGAAATTTCTGATTCAAAGAAAAAGATTTACTTATGGCTCTATTATACATATTCCACAGAAGGTCATGGGAAGGTTCTTATGATGTCCTTAAAACTGATGACTGTTGCCAGCTATGTTGCCTTTTTCATATCCTTCACTGGCCCTCTTCTGCCCTACCACAAATTTGAAATTTCCACAATGACATTGATAGTGATACAGATCTCAAAAAAGGCAGCAAAACAGGAGACACTCTACAATTAGATTCTGTTTCTTATTTTAAAACCAGAGTATTTTCTGACCTTAAAGAACCTTACTGTGCCTCAGTTTCCTTGCCTGATAGGAAATAATGAGAAAAAACAAATAAACAAACAACTCCACAGCAGCTACATAATGCAAAGATCTCTACCAAGTTTAGTAGCTACTGCTCGTGATGCCTCTTTACTGATCATAACCTAATTTTGTACTCATGACAAGAATAGAAATATTTTTGTTACATCTGCCCAGAGAATACATTGTGTTGTATCCTTCTCATATCTTTTAAAGGTACCACTATTCAACAGGGACATATCTTGTCCATTTTCAGAAAGAGTGAAGTAGCTGTGATCCAGAACCTCTAGTTAGAAGAGGACACAGGGGAGGCCTCATTGCAGTCTACAACTTCCTCGTGAGGGGAAGAGAAGGGGCAGGCTCTGATCTCTTCTCTGTGGTGACCAGTGACGAGCCAAGGGAATGGCCTGAAGTTGTGTCAGGGGAGGTTTAGGTTGGATATTAGAAAAAGGTTTTTCACCCAGAGGGTGGTTGGGCACTGGAACAGGCTCCCCAGGAAAGCAGTCACAGCACCAAGCCTGCCAGAGTTCAAGAAGAGTTTGGACAATACTCTCAGGCACATGGTGTGATTCTTGGGGATGGTCCTGTGCCAGGCCAGGAATTGGACTCAATGATCCTGATGGGTCCCTTCCAACTCAGCATATTCTGTGATTCTGTTATTCATAATTCCTAGACATTTGACCTTCTCACAGCTGTCTGACAATCCCATCTGTTGGGAGGTGAGACATACAAGGGAGAAGTTTCATTGCCAATGTATATTATACTGCAGTGCTAACCCTTGAAAATTAACAATCAATTTTTTTTTACCTGGATTTGGATAGGTTGCCATTTACAGGAAATAACTCATCATTTAGATTTTAGATTTCTCTGTGGTTGAGAGAAATTTTCATATTCATTTTATCTTTCCTCACAATAAGTTTATTGTTTGCTGATTTTCTACTACTAGATATTTACATACATGACAATATTTGCTATCATGCAAATTAGCGCAACTACCTCCCTTACTCAAAAGTACTTAAAAAAATACTAACAGACTGTTCCTATCTATTAGACTGTATTTAAGAATTTGACAGATTTGTCTAGCTTATTTTTACCCCACATTTTTAGTTTTGTTCTAAAAAGGTTTTAATATAAGGTGAAGTCAGGGTGATATGAGCAGTTAACTTCAAGGTTAGCTTGACAAAATTTAGCAAATACAGTATATTCCCAGCAAACTAACAGCATTTCAGTTTTGTTAAACAAAATGAAAAAAAAAAACCTCAAACACTACCACCACAGTTGAAAAAAAAAAAAAAAAGAAAAAAAGGCTAAGGAAAGGAAAAGAGTGCTATATGACAAACCTTTCCTTTAAACCAAACCAAACATTATTTTTTTGGTAACTTTTTTGGTTTTGGATTTTTTCTTTTAAAAAAACTAACTTAGATTTCAGGTTGTAAACCCACAGATACGTTTATTGTCCTGGGACTGTTTCATTTTGCAGAAGTTTCATAGTCTTTGATTCTCTTCACAAGTAGTTAAAACAGTCACATGGGAGACAGGATGATTGGACTCTAGTTCCTGTTTATTTGCCTTTTCCTATATGTTAAGTAGAATAATGTCCACAGCAAAACATTAAAATAATTGGATTTCAAATACCCTGTTGAGTTTAGATTCAGGCAATGTGCTGAGATGTGAGAATGGTATACTGAAATGCCATAAGCAGTGTTGGGAACAGATTTTGAATATTCAGATAGAAAATTAGTGGCATACACATTGATCTTCTTGGTGATGTTGACTCATTTTGTGCAAAACCTTCTCCGAATCCAGAAATGAAAAATGTTTTTGGCATAAGTATATGCTTATTTCTAAACTTCAGTTTTTAAATAAATAGTCAACCTAAAAAAACCTCAGAAAATAAAAAACTAAAACAAATTAAACAAACAAACAAACAAACAACAATCAACCTGACAAAAAAACCCTCAAAACCTCCTGACCACTCTAATAGCCCTTTCCTCATGCCCAACAATGCTCCACATGATACAGAGCATACAGCAAAAGTATTTAATACATACTATATTAAACAGATGATTAACCACTTTGCTAATTTAGGAAAGACTACCTAAAACCTTGCAGAATTTCATCTTGCCTTACTTAAAACTTGAAGGCCTACTATTGCCTTCATATTAATGTGCATAATAAAAACAAAGATTCTCTATATAAAAATATTCTGTTGCATTCCTTTCTCTATCAATATTTTTATAAAAAACGCATGTTTTTGTTTATGAACCATTGTTTCTAATGTTAATATTTTATCTGTTTAATCCAGACAGCAATAATTATATATAATACAAAATATAGCTACCCTACACACAATAATTTAAACCTTTTAAAAAAATGTTCATCCCCTACACCTTTCAATGGTTCATATACATAAAATGGGAAAGATGTTTATCCTCAGGTTTCACATCACTCACTTCCAGGTTCTTCCAAAAGGCAAGCATATGAACAATCAAAGAAAAGTTAAATTATCTGAGTTTAATTCAGAATTACAATTTTTCCTTTTCCTTCCATGCCCTGCACTGAAAAATCACACCTAAAATGTCAATAAATAAATATTAAGAACTATTTATCCTACATTTTGAAATAATCAGAACACACAGTTTGCCACTTTGTTTTTAACTCTATGTTCCTAATGTTTTTGCAATTTTTCAGGGGAGGGGTTGAATTAAGGAACAGATAAATCCTGTACGCAATACATCCAGGTAGTAGGTACAATATTAAATAGAATGTAGGAGAGAAATAAACCATGTATAACACAAATACATTTAAAAATCATTAGTATTATCATTTTGGTAGAAATGCACTTTCAAGTGTATCTTTACATTTCAAAATGCTTCATGTAATCAATTTTCTTCTAGATTTTAGAGATTAAAAGTGTTTTTTACTTGCACCAGCCTATGCTGGGCTGAAACCAGAAAATAAAATGAAAATAAGTTCACCCTTTTGCTTTTCAAGTACAGAGTATGTTCATGAATACTCTGATCACACATCCACTGTCTAAGTCTCCAAGTTGAGAAACACAGCTTTTAGAGTAGTAGCAATGAATTTTACTACCACATATGGCAGCATCTTCATTGAGTACAGCATCATTACTTAAAAGCTGAACTAGCTCAACAATCCAGTTGATTAGTACTGCAGCATTCCATACTCTGAATTGAATGAGATTAATGCAGAGATGTTTCCTTGATGTCCAACAGGTAAAAGTCACAGCATAAATACAGAAGCATATCTGAAATTAACTCCACCGAAAGGCTACAAGCAATACAAAGAGATCTGTTGAAATAATGACTTAATTCTTCAAATCTGAGCAATGAAAAATAGGAGTGGTAAAAAAATGGAAAATTTGAGAATATCCAGTGGCTCTCCATGGAGGGCATGGGGACGAATGCAGTCCAGAAGTGTTGAGCTGCTGAACACTAACTAATGGAAAGCAAAGCCTCCAAGAACCTGTGGTATTTGTGCATCAACACTACTAACAGAAAACAGGTTTGAAATTCTCTTCTAAATTTCTTTGTGAGCTACAAGAGAGGGTTGGGTTTTTTTGGTTGATTTTGTTTTAATTCCCATCTTAAACAAAGCTCTTAATAAGCATGAAGAAGATTGCAGAAATTTGGCTGGTAGCATAACCTCACAAATTTTAAGATAAACTGACTTTGTAAACAAGGTCTCAATTTATTTTTTCCAGATACACTTTTCTTACCCCTCTGTCAGCACAGGACTGCTGAATCTACAAAGGAATACCTTACACCACTCTAATAACTTGCAGTACACCACTAGTGGGCTTCTGAAGTTTTCCATATTTTTAGAAAAGTCAGCAGTTGCCAGATACACATCTTCGTTTTTAACAAAAAGAATGCTTTTTTCCTGAATATTTTTATTAGATTCATACTAGCTAACATTATTTCTGATGCTAATCCAAGATCTTCAAAGCCAGGTGTTTGTTAGTGGTTAAGATACTAAGTCTATATCTTGGATTCTAAAAGATAGCATCTTCCCCTATGCTACACATTTATCTTGTCTGAACTATACCTTCTTCCGAAACTTTGAGTCTTTGTTCTTCATCTGGAGGTTTGGGTGGGGGCCACGCAGATGGAATTCTCCTTGGAAAGCTTCCTTCAATATAATCTGTTGAATGTGTGGGTTGGCTGACTGCAGCCCAAGTATAAAGCTGGTCTTGCTGTGATTATTAAAAAAAAAAAAAAAAAAAGGTTGAGAAGTTCATATAGAAATACAAGCTTAAAATACCTAAGCTTTTCTTTCCAGTACAAATAAATCAATATCCATCCCTATATCAAGGCAGGCTTGGTTTTATGCTCTTCATCTCCTGAAAGAGACTTAAAATAAATCTATATTAAAAGAACTATTTTATTAACAACAGGTAATTAAGTTTTTAGTTATCTACAGCACAATGACATGCTAGGATACAGCTCAGCATCCTTTTGAGCATAAGGAACTCTTTTCCACTTCCTTTCTTAGAGAGATAACACATTCTGTGTATCATGATTGGTTCCATACAGCTGGTTTTATTGGTTAGAGAAAAATATTTCAGTCCGCACTCTACATTACCCTTTTCACTAAATGCACAAGCAAGGAAAATGAGCAGGATTATTTCAGCATAAATTAAACTGATATACTTATTCTTTGCAGCCCTATTTTTATCATTTCCATTTTCATATTCTTAGAAAAACAGGTAAAAAGGTGAGGTTTCTTTTGGAGTAAAATTAAAAAAAAAAAAACAAAACCAACAAATTAACAGCTAAAAGTATTTTTAGTCCTCTAGGCTCAAATCAGTTTATATCCTTATTACTCAATAGCTTTGAGTTTGATTCTGTGATTAAAAGTAGGACACATAAAGACTGTCTAATGAAAACCAGGGCAAACTTATGCTTTAAACCAACAGAAAGATTTCACACAATTCAAGTAGTTATTCTTGTGACTCCTAGTATGCATCAACATGCAAACCTTGTGATTAAACTTTTAGAATTCTGTAAATTCTATAAAGACCATTCACAGCAACTGCATGAGTATCTTAGTAAGTGACCTGGAAAGATGCAAATACTGCAGTACAAAACTGGAAAAAAAATCAAGTCACAGGATGAAAATACAGTCATATCACAGTAAGACTTTCATACAAAGATGATGTTCATTAGATTTCATTCATGCTGTTGCCTGAGTAAAACATTGGTGATATATATTTCCATGCTACATATTTCATTTTTAGATTAAAACTTTCTTTTTCTTTTTTTTTTAAAATTTGAGAGATATTAGACTTTGAAGAGATTTTCAGAGGGAAGAAGAAAATAACACTTTTTCTTGGGATAATCATTATTCTATGTGACTAAGGTTTTACTTGCCTAAAAATAAGTTGTGATAAGGATGATAATGTTCTATTGAGAGCAAGTTACATGGAACAGACAAATGCTGGTTTTAAAGTTAAAAGTTTTGGTTTCCAGAAAGTGTCCCAGTCAGGCTCAAAGGAAGCTCATTAGACCTTCCCATCACGAAAAACATGGCAAAAATCCAGACATATATAGAGACCTTAGAAAAAGGTAAAAATAAATAGATAAAAAGCTTAATAAAAAATAAGATCATGTTCTTTACCTAGCCCTAAACATTATGTTCCTTGAAAAGCCTGTCCTTTCCATTAGAATGCTACTGCATCTGAACATGCAAAAAGGCTTGATTAAATGCAGTCCTTTGAGTAACTTAGTTCCTTCCCCTTGTGTAATTCCAGCTTTTTAGAGGATATGTACTTCTGAGTTTCTGCTCAATTTCCAGTACTGTTTGAGTAAAAAGCTGAGGAAGGATCATACCTGTACACACTGTGTAAAGATAAAGAAAAGGTGATGGATTTTGCTCTTTGTCATGTTTCTGCACCATTTAAATCTCAAAAACACATAGGAAAATAAGATCCAAAAAGACCATTGAGGCAAACCAGGACAAATTTTTTCTTGCCCACTCTACTACCTTGCACAGTCGAGGGAACACAGGGAAGAACATACTCTGCAGAGCATTAACTGGTTAAGCACAGTTGACTTTCAATAGGATTACAGGGCAATAAAACAAAAGACAACAGACTGTAGATAATACTGACATAGCATGAATGATGAAGACAAACAGTTAAACTGTTCTTGGACAGGACATTTCAACATGCCAGTTCTTCAAAGATATAATACAATCATTTAATAACAGAATTTTGAAGTATGATTAGTCTACAGTAATTGAGATGTATTAAAAAATAGCTCAGAATTATTGTACAGATGGGATACATTATGCTGGTAATAAAATATGAAGTACCTATGTTCTTGCTGATATAATTTACAGCATATAACATATGAGCAGTTATAAATTAAGACATCACACAACTCCATAACTGACTCTCAACTCAGTGTGGGAGCTTTGTTTGTGAATATAAAAAAGAGTATTTGTGTGTATTGCATTTAGGGGGGGTCTTTTTTCATTCACTATTCAGCACAGAGAAAGACAATGGAATGAAATCATTATGTAATAGAAATTTAGACTTCCAAAAATGCCTTGGAGGGACTTGCAATACAAAGAAAATGTATCAACTTTCAACATTTAAACAAGGCATTTACCAGCAACTACTTTCAGATTACTTTCAAGGTTATAAAGATAATTTAAAATATGAAAAACGGCATGACAGAAAGGCATTCTGAAGCTCTGGACTTGAATCTGATAGTCCATAATTTACACTTTAAAATGGAGAAGATTAACCCTATCTCTGCTTTCATGCCCTTCAAAAGAGATGAATCATCTCGATGTACTAATTTCCATCTAGTGAAGCTACAGTCCAAAATCTAATGCTTTGTTTCTCTTTGGTTCCTTGTCAGTTAATATACTAACCCATCCCATTTTCCTTTTCCAAATCTGATAATGCCATAAATGCCATTATCATATTATTAGAAGAGTTAGAAGAAAGGTATATACAGCCAATTCTATGATGTTAAAGTACTATTCAAGCAAAAGAAACAAAATAATCCAAATAAAAGTCTAGATTTGCTTTTAACATTAATAATCGTAGCACAATTATCCATGATCCTAGATTTCCACATTCAACTCTTTCTCCTTTAATCTTATAATTTCAGAGGGAATTTTTGGTAATCATCATTGTACATACAGTCAGTGAATATGCTTACCGTGATCACATTTTGAATACCTCTGGAATTTCCACTTCATCTTGCTCAGACTCCACTATTTAGTTTTTAAAGCATCTCTTTTTAGGGAAAAATTACATATGTATCCTTGTAATTAATGATCCCAATCTTACTTATTCAGATTCATTTCTGGGCAGACATTGCAAGCTTAAAGCTATCTGAGTCTGGTGCACTAAACACGATGTCAAGAAGAGTTTTTATTTCCACACATCCTTACACAGCACTTTCCAATGGTTCTTAAAAGTGCAGAGCATCTGCACAGAGGCAAGGCAAACTGCCTGCAGGATCTGATGGTACCTAATCAATATCCATTTTACCACTTATAGATCTAGCATTTAGAATCACAGAGAGTCAGGTCTGTAGTTTAACTCACTCTCTTCCCAGACAGCTTTAAGTATGCACAAAGAATGGCTTTTTGTAACAACTTTTTGTTCTCTGGTACCATGGTGTTGCACTTCAAGTACCTAACAGATTAAATATTAAATATGTTCCTTCACTGCTTGAGCTGAGCGTATGTTTTCCAGCTAGTCTCTAAAAATGGAAACTAGTGCTGTAAGCTACTCAAAGAAAAGGCCTCTAGCAAAGGACACACAGAAAGATGCTGGTGAACCCAGAACTAACGCCATGATCTAGACCTACAGCAAACATCAAAAGTCACTCTGGTGGGCCTGGAGCTTTCAGAAAAGGGGTCACACATTTTTCACACAGAGACAAGATTTGTCCCCTGGGCCACAGAGTGAATTACAGATGACTATATCCCTCACTGTTGGAATATAATATGCAACCTTGAATGTATGCTTCATTGTTCCTGGAGATATACAGGTAATACAACCTTCTGCTCAATGTCGCTTCAGTTTTTAATCAGCTGTTTATATGCTTCCAGTTCAAAAAACAAAGCCATTGTGAGAAATGCTTAAAAAAAAGTACAAGAGATGGAGTTGCAATAGCAATAAGTGTACACACATTTGTCCAAAATGGCTGCAAAAGAATTAATTAGCAATGCGAGAATCAAGGGGGAGAAAAATCTGACCAGAAGTATTTTGACAATACTTGTCAACAAGGAAAAAACAAAAACAAAAATGCAGGCAGAGAAGGTAAGGCAGTATAGAAGCACTCTGCTATCAGGAGTAACCTCTGCTCTTCAGGTCAGCACAGCAGTAGACGGGGAAAGTACATTAGCAGTACCTCTAAACTTTTTTAAATGAAAGTGCATTGGTACTAACTTGCCTGATGGCTCCTGTATCAAGCATTGATGTAATTGGGTTCTATCTTGTAAGAAATTTATTTTCAAATAGTAAACTTGAAGAACTTTTCACTAGAACCCCAAACAATCAAAATTATCCTGAAAAGGGGAGGACAGAAGTGTCAGCATGTTTGCAGACAGATATAAATGGGTCAGGATTAAACACAGAGTGGGAGTTACAAGAAGGTTCCTACTCATCAAATCAGTCTGGATTACATTCTTTCAATAGGAGGAAGTGGATTTAAAATGGAACTCCGTAAACTCATAGCAGAATTACATTTTATCGTCCTTGGGATAAGAAGAGATCAGACTCCCTGTCTCAGAGGTGTTTTCCAGGCTAAGAGTTCCAGAGAGCGTGTACTGCATTTGTAGATAATTGCTTGTCATTTAGTCTGCTTCAAGTGCATGGAAAGAATTTATTTTTTTTCCATTTGGGAAATTTAATCATTCTAGTATACTAAGTATACAGTCTCTAAAATGAAAGAAAGCCAATTGCATGTTCTGTACTGCATACAAATAGTTAATTGAAGAAGCAAGGTTTTAGTTTGAGAAACTAAAGCCAGACTACCTCAAAATGCTCTGCTTAGCAGGAGACTGCTTTATTTTAAGCAGCTTTTAAAATAAAGAAATCAATACTATCAGGAATGGGGAAAGTGGCTCACTTATTGAGGAGAGGTTCAGTAACAAAGCTCTGTCTTGCCACTGACAGAACCAGAGCAGTGATTAAACATGGCTCTCAACCTGTACTACCTTTGGCTG